GATTCTCCTAAAACTATCTATGCCCAAGACTCCCCTGGCAAATTTTCAAATCCCCCCTCCCCTGAGAACATACATTCCTACAAACTGTCAAATGTTGGAGGTGGGATGGAGGGCCCACACACCTAAGGTAAACCCAGCATACTGACCTGGAGTTCCTGGATAAAAAAGTTTGAGAGGCTCTCTGCTGCCTGGAGGAAAAAAAAAACAGTTGCCATGAGTTGACTCCGACTCATGGTGACCCCATGTGTGTCTGAGCAGAACTGCACCCCATAGGGTTTTCGACGGCTGATTTTTCAGTAGATCACCAGGCCTTTCTCTGAGGCACCTCTGGGTGGACTTGAATCACTAACCTTTTAGTTAGCAGCTGAGCGCATTAACCTTTTGCACTACCCAGGGACTTCACTGCCTGGAGAAACAGATATTAACATTTTAAAACAAGACTTTGCTTCAATCTAGTTCAAGTCTAGGGCACCCAAAACACAGGCCCTCAGGTGAGATAACGGGGATGGGGGAGCCACAGGTACAAGAAGGGGAGAGTTGAAGGGTTACATACGCCCTCTTCATTGGCTGCCCTGAAGACCCAGCCCTGAACGCAGGCCTGCAGGACCCTCCCTCAGGGCTCCATGTGAGACTCCTGTCCATCTACTTACCCCAAGCTGGAGTTCTCACAGGATGCTAAATGCAGTGAGCTTATTTGCAGGCCAGGGTCATATCTGCCTAGCAACCCAACATGCAGACTTTAAGAGACTATAAACATGGACAGAGAACAGGCAGGCCAACTCTGCATAAAAGGATCTGTTCTCATGCAAATGGGCCTAAGCAAGAGGGCTGGAAAAGAGAACAGTGGGGACAGCTCTGAGGAGCCAATTCACTTCCTAAGATGTTTAGGGACTTTTTCAGGGCATCATCCTAGCCTTGCCCACTGTAAACGAAGGGCCAGAGGGGCTCTGCCTGCCACTTGGCTTGAGACAGACACCACAGCAGAGGCTAACGGGACTGGGGGCCCTTCCTTACCTCCCTGATTTTTCTGGTTCTGCGCTCCAGATTCCAAAGGTTCTTTTGTTCTTATTTAGAACTAAACAGAGTGTTGTTTGGGGGGGGTTTGATTAGCATGGTAAACAAGCAGTGCTTTCCCTCCCTTTGCTTTCCCTGAAGGGGTGAAAAAAGCAGGGGTTTTCACGCTTGGTCTCACCAGGATTGAGGAGACAAAGTGAAGCCTGCCTTTAACCAGGGAGGGCAGAAGTCAGTGTTTGTAGATGGCAGGGCTGGGTGGAGACTGGGTTTCTGGCCACCTGTCCATGACCTAAAGGCAGAAGGTAAATGTCCTCGTTGGATGAGCGTACAGGGACTCCAGTTGCAAAAAGGGCCACTTGTGTAACCTTGGGCAAATCCCTCCAGGACTCTGGACCTCTCTTTTCCCATCTGTAGAGTGAGGGTGATGACAGTGTCCAGTTCAGAAGGTTGCTGACGGGGTTAAAATTAGATCATGTATGTATGGCACTTAATACGGTGTCAGGAAAAATGTGAGCACGCAAACAACAACAATAGAATGTATTACGGAGACGTGGGTTCCATTTTTGGCCAATATACCTCATGCGTAGCCACCACCCAACTGTCAGTGGTGGACTGTGTGTTGATACTGAACACGTTTCAGTGGAGCTTCCAGATTGGAGGGACTAGGAAGAAAGGCCTAGAGATCTACTTCCGAAAATCAGCTAATGAAATCCTATGGATCACAACGGTCTGATCCAGAACCACTCATGGAGATGGTGTAGGACCGGGTAGTATTTCATTCCAGTGTGCGTGGGGTCACCATGAGTCAGGGGCCAACTTGACAGCAGCTAACTGCAACAATGAGTAATATGATTACATCCCCCAACAGCCAAGAGTTTCACTTGCTCCAATATTCAGATGTGACTTATCGAATCATTCATTCACCTCCAGGGCTTTTGGCATTATTTGTCTGTTTTTTAAATCAAGAAGCTGAAGCACCAAGCTCTTATGTAACTTCCTTGGAATCACCCAGTTATAAATGATGGGCTGCCCCCCTAGGTTCCTAAGCAGGACTCAGTACAGTACACGCCGTGTGTCGTATTAAACAGAACATTTCCATCATGACACTCCTAATGCATTGCAAGATCCAAAACGTCAAAGGTTACGTTTACAGTCAGTTCTGTTTCAGCATTAAGTGTTTTCACTCTAGGAGTCCCTGGGTATTGTAAAAGTTGAAGCGTGAGGCTACTAACCAAGAAGTTGGTAGTTTCGAACCCTCCCAAAGGCACCTCAGAAGAAAGGTCTGCTTCCAAAAGGTCACAGCCCTGAAAACCCTATGGAGTGCAGTTCCACTCTGCAACACACGGGGTCACCATGAGTCGGAATTGGCTCAATGGCAACTAATTTTTTTTCGTTTGGTTTTCACATTAGTGAGTAAAATCAGTTTCTAAATATCACTGCAAGTTAACTCTCTGAAGAACAAGTCATAAAAGGACGGTTTGTGTGAGTCAGCAATGAGACTGGGTAAGCCATAAATAATAACAATAAGAGCTAATAGTTATTGAGGACTTACCATAGGTCACCATATACTCTGCACTTTACAAATATCATAAATGATATTATTCAACTCTGGGGAGTTGTGCCATTATCCCCATTTTACAGATTTGAAAACTGATGCTCCAAGAAGATAAGTTACTCCTACAAAGTCACAAAGGTACCCAGTAGCACTCTGCCTCTACCAAAAAAACCAAACTCATTGCCGTCGAGTCGATTTCAACTCGTAACAACCCTATAGGACAGAGCAGAACTACCTCACAGAGTTTCTAAGGACTGCCTGGTGGATTCAAACTGCTGAGCTTTGTGGTTAGCAACCGTAGTACTTAAACAACTGTGCAACCAGGGTTTCCCTGCCTCTACAGTACTGGCCAAAACAGGGCACTTTGTACCAGCATACCTACTCCCCACCTAACCTACTTCAGAGCTTGGTAACACCAATGGATGGCATTTAATCCAGCAGAAAAACTCATTGCCATCCAGTGGGTTCCCACTCATCGTAGGCCTATAGAACAGGGTAGAACCGCCCCATAGAGTTTCCAAGGCTATAATCTTTACAGAAGCAGACTGCTCCATTTTTCTCCCAGGGAGCAGCTGGTGGGTTCCAACCATTGACCTTTTAGTTAGCAGCCCAATGCTTAACCACTGAACCACCCACCCACTGCCATCCAGTCAAGTCAACTCATAGCAACCCCGTAGGGTATCTGAGGCTGTCCATCTCTACAGAAGCAGACTGCCACATCTTTCTCCCGCTGAGCCGCTGGTGGTTTCCAACCGCAGACCCTTCTGTTAGCAGTCCATCGCTTTAAACGCTGTGTCATTTAACCGAGCAGATCCTATCCTAAAATAATGAGAACTCAGGCAGCCGACTCCTCCCGGTGATGGCTTTCCTGGCATACACTCCCAAACTAGGCTCTGTTGAGCTACTGACATCCGAAACATTCCCCCGAATCCCAATGAAGGGAGCAGCCGGTGCCAAAGTCCGCGAGGGAATGCGGAGAAAAAGGCTTTGCTTCGGAGCAGGTCCCAAAGTGGCCCTGGGGGTGAGGTGGAGGCCAGCAAGCCAAGTCTGTGCCCTCACCGTCTCCGAAATGTCTGGGATCCTACATTGCTTTGTCCCCACGACGTGCTCGTAACTGTGGTTTCCTGGGCATTATCTGCTTAGTTCACAGGGACCCTGGGGTCAGGGACTTCGGGATGAAGGCCACGTACTCCCCAAACCTCCGGCTCCCCCATGGGGCAGCTGCCCGAGGGTAGGGCAGCCATGCACCTGTGTGGAAGTGGCCTCCTGCCTGGAAGGGACGGTACGCGCGCGACCCAGCCCAGGATGCTGACTCAGCCCGGCGGCTCACATCCCTCTCGCGCAACGCGGATGCTATAGCTGCTGCCTGCTGCTGCAAAGTGGGGGGAGGAAACAAGGCACCCGGAGCAGCCCGGCCCCTCGCTCCCTAGGGCCCTCTGCGACACTGCCGCCTCCCTCCCCCGGAAGGGTGCGCGAGTTGACGAAATTGAGGGAAGTGGGCACTGGAGGAGGAACTCGGGGTCCACGGCGCCGCGCGCGCAGCTCACACCCAAACTGGAAGGAACCTGTTCTGCCCGGGGCGGGCGCGGAGCCGCCGCAGCCGCGAGCAGCGCGCAGGGCCAGCCCCGGCGCGCGCGCGCCCTCTAACCCCCAAATCCTTAGGGCTGGGCGGTGGGCGCGCCAGGGGGCTGCGGGTAGGGGGCAGCCCGAGGGCCCCGCGCGCGCGAGCCCAGCTTGGAATACCCGGAGGGAGGGTGGCAGGCACCCCCGAACACTCCCCCATGCCCGCGCTCCCCACTTGCATTGCAGTAAAGCGCCCAGGGCTGGCCAGGCCCCGCGCGCACAACGGCGCCCGGGGGCTGTGGGCGAACGCCAAGCCTAGGACCCCGGCGGCGCTGGCGGGGGCGGCCCTGCGGGATCCCGGGGACGCGGATGCCGTTACCTTCCGTGACCCCCAG